AGTTTATTACCTGAGTGCCGATGTTTTCACGAAACGTTAATTAACTTTCGTTTCGCCAAATTTCTGGCACTCACTATGTCCTCTTGTTAGCAAAGGTCATCTTGAATTTTTCTTTAATTTTTTGCCTAGGATCCCTTCTAGTGTGTTGGCTTATAGTCGCAGGTTATGACATGAGTGCTAATGTTTTCGTGAACCGTCAATTAATTTTCGTTTCATCGAATTTTTGGCACTCGCTATGTCCTCTTGTTAGCAATGGTCATGTCAAAATTATAGCACTAAATTTTTTGTTTTTATGCTTTATGACTCATAATTGCCACACTACATTTTAGCAAACGCAACAAATGGATTCCAAAGAAGCATCTTCTATGGACCCCTCAACTCAGCGTCGTAAAAAGGGCATAAAGAGAAAGAAGAAATTAGCTAATGGACCTACCGCCAATAAGGCACCAGAAGAAAATGTGGTGAATGTTCGTACTAGTTCACACTTATGGCAAATGTTTACGTCTGGTGAACAGATGTTACCGGAACACAAGTTGAGAGAACTAAGCATTGAAATTCAGCTTCTACACAAAGACGTAGTAGCTAGGTCACGAAAAGATGAGATGTGTTACACCGCTAAAGTTAAAGAGGTTGTTGGATTTGTCAACGCGTTCGCTGCTGATAAAATATATCTTGCGTTTGATAATGTTGTCCACGACAATATTTTCAACGTCGACGTAGTCAATCCATCTTTAATGAGGCTTTGGTCGCTATGGCATGCTACAAATCCATTACTTCTGGCATGCAAATCCATTACTCCAGAATGAAGAAGTTGCCTTCCTCGATCCGTATATGATGCATTCTGGCAATGCTGATTCTAATAAAGGTCAATGTGTTATGGCGAATTACCTGCACAAGATAATTCTTCAAAGTCCTCGGCACAAGCACAACTTTGTCTGCCTTACTTCAAAACGTAAGTTCATTCCTTTATGCTTGCACATATACACTTGCGTACTTTGATGTCAATCTCATTCTCATGTTACATCATTGAACTTTTTTGCGCATTAGTGAACACCAGATCGTCGTTGCACTAACGCCCTTGGACGACCGAGCTTATTTCTTTGATTCCAGGAGAGACCCAAAGAAGCCCTGGACAACTCTAAAAATAGTTCTGAATGTTTCAAATTTCACACTAGCTTGTATTGTCGGCAACAACCAAAATATGAAACCATGCACATGTCTAGCTACTATGCCATGTTCCTCATGGATGACTATATGCGCGCGGGACCACTTTTGAGACATGATTCAATGTTGGAGCAATGGTCCGAAGAGAAAGAGAAGAAAGTTAAGCTAGCTCACTTTTTGGACAGAGCATGAGCGCCTTCAAAGGGTGCTCACATATATCATCGATCGCCATGTAGTGAGGGATGAGGGGATGTTCTACTGCGACGCGGAGAGTGAAGAAGAACGAGAGTTGAGAATTAAACATCAAAATGTCGTGGTATATATGTCGACTGATATTATGGCGAAAGGATGGATATATATGCTTTCTAGAAAAATGTCAAACATTAAATTATGTCAGGCCACAATGCTTATTACCTTCTGATCTCTACTTTATATGTATGTGTATCATATGTTTATATATTTACCTTGTGATCTTTTCTATATGTATATATTTTGAATGTTATTGTGTACTAAAAATAACAGATGAGTCCAGGAGAAGAATTGTGGGAGGGCGTATCTGTGGCGGACATTGAGAAGAACTATCTATGGATACGGAGAAGTATTCGGCATAGTACCCGAGGGAGGTGATGTTCGCCTGATTTAGAAGTGTTCCAATGGCCCAGTGTTCTCTACGAGCGATGGAGAAGATAACAGAGAGGTGGTTCAGTCACCTCGCGGTGTGCATCCTGACAGAGGCGACTCCGGATGAGAGGCTGAGGATCTGGTCGGGTCTGAGTCCAGCCACCATACCCATGCCAGGTGTGGTAGTTCAATTGGCCTTTCAAGAGGCCAAATCTCCTATTCTAGAGCAAGCGGCTGTTGGTCCCCGTTTCGTTCCATCCAATAGTTACTCATGCAATTGTTTGGCTTCTACTAATGATCTACATGTTGAACACCGTCCGACACTCTTTTCACTCCTAAACAACTCATGGAACCATTAGTTATGTGTGATGAGCGACATATATATGTTTATCATTATAATGAACTTGTGATATTTTCTTTATAACTACTTTTCATTAATCAACCATCATTGGAATGTGATGTGTGTATGTGGATCAATGTTAAAACTAGAATTTATGTATCCGATGCAATCTCATGATCTGATCCAGCCGCAATATGTTGTAATAGCATCAATTTCGTATCGATTAATAAATAGTGGCTGGCAATAGAGAGAGCCTGCCATTGCTACACAAAACTTCTTTGGCGGGCGGCCTAAGCCACCCACCACTGCTGATGAGCTACCATTGGCGGGCAGGCGTCCGCCACTGATGGCATGTTAGTAGTGGCGGGAGGTCAGTGACGGGCAGCCCTGGGAGCCTGGCCCGCAACTGCTGGCCTTTTTGCACCACCACTGCTAGGCATTCCTGCAATAGTGCAATGTCAGGTTCTTAGACACCGACACCAGTAATGGACCCCCTCCTGTAGAGTACCTGAGCTAGCCTCCAGATCGGATCTCCTCGGAATAAAAGCTTGCGACGGTGGAAAATTCAGAGAAAAATCTTGCGAAGGGTTTCACAAAATATGGAATTTATTGGTGGAAGAACGACCGTAAGGCAGTGGACAGCGCCTGACACGACCTAGGGGTGTGACCAAGGCCCTGGCCATGCCTGGTGGATGTGTGGAGCCCCTGTAGATCCTCTTGTTCCCTTCCGGTGCTTTTCTCAAACTTTCGTGAATGGGAAAAAATTGTATTAAATCCTCAGGTTTTTGACCTCCATAGATATTGATTTTCAATAAAGTCAAAAACATGCACAAAACAGTAACTGGCACTGTGCATTGAATTAATATGTTAGTCCATAAAAATAATATAAATTGGTATGAAAAGTATATAAAAGTGATAATATAGTTGCATGAAGCAATCGAGTCGGGGCATCTAGGTTACTAGGATCACCCAGCCATTGCCCGGACAATCCGGGTAGCTACCCAGACAGTCTAGCCATGCATGTGCGCATCTTGGCCTTTTGAGGTCATGTAAACCCCCTCTCTCGCCCCAAATGCACTTGTACTATAAATAGTCGCGCCTACCTCCATTCTATGGTTAGTAAAGTATATTGATCTAAATTGAGAAAACAATGCGCCTTGAATCCTAGAGGATCAAGCCCACCTAAGGGAGAAGAATCTCTCAAGATTATCACAACCCTCCTAAGGGAGAAGGATCCATATCATAGGATTACCAAGACCTCCCATGTGAGAGGGATCCCTTGAGATCATCCAGCTCTCATCTCCTTAGGATTTGGGAAGTACTACCTTGCCACTCTTTTCCTCTTGTTGACCTTGTAATCTTGTGGATCTTATGTGTTTGCAAATTTAGTGGATGTGTGATTTGGATCTTGTCTTGAGTGAATTTCCTTCTTGTTCTCGAGTGTCCGGCCAGACCCCCTCCAAGTGTGAAAGATTGGGCAACTTAGGGTCCCTACCCTACATCAAGGCTCATCGCCACTAGCCGCCCACAACACAGGTTTGCAGCTGTGGCAACACATCCATTGTCGCCTTGTCGCAGTCCACCTTCGCCATTGCTGTAGTCATTGGCCTTCCTGGTGAAGGATGTCCGATGAGCTGGGAGAAGAGAAGGGGTGGGCTCTGCATCTGATCAATCATTTAGGAAGAGAAATGTCGATGTGGCGAAGAGGGCGGTGTGTGCTGCTGAAGTAGGACCGGGAGGAAAAATATAGAGCTGACTAAGAACGGGTGGACGGAGAGATGGAAAGATAACAAAAGATAAGGTAGAAATGATTGGTGGGCCCACGGGCCGCTTGAGTCCGTATAGGGTGGCCGAAGTGTGTGTTGTATCAGCAACCTGATACGATCTTGTACCTTAATTATTTCTCAAAAAAGAAAGACCTTGTACCTTAATTTAATTGGCAGCTAGAATTCATTTTCAATATGTAATCATATTAACAATGAAATGATATGTGAATCACAGTCATTACTACATGCCTCCCTTGCAACTTTCTAATAAAAAGATAAAAGGAAGAAGAAGGTTATTCGAAACTTTCTTTTTATGCGACTTTACTCTAAACCGTTGTATATATAATAGTAACTTTCTAACAAGAAGAAGAAGGTTATTCGAAATTTGGGACGCCACCATCCTCACTTTGCTGAGCCTGTGGGAAAATTATGGCGACCCCATTCATACTCGTCTATCTGTCCTGAGCAGAGTGGAACCATCCTCGGCGTTTGCTGTTCCACTGCAGTGAGGAAATCCCTACGCGGTGCCAGGCCGCGTGAAGCCATCATCAATCACTCTCGCTCTGATTGGCAACGCCCACCAATCAACGCAACCTTCCGAACACGATACGGTCGGCGGACACCTTTCGTACTCCTATTTCCCCTCACAGTCGTTGCACAACTCGACAGCGCATTTCTTCCTTTCGGGGCCCTCACTCACTCCCGGACGCTCGGGTCCCACCGCCAGCAAGCCACCTTTCCCCGCAAGCCAGTCGCTAGCAAACGCCCCAGCGTCCGCCTCCGCTGTACGGGCTGCGATTTTTTGCTTCCTTTCTCCAGACGACTCCCTCACGAGGGCGTCGCAGTCGTACCTACGCGCTGCACCGCTTTTCTGGCACCCGTCGTTGTTAGACCCAGTTTACATGTGGGCCGATATGCGCAGACGGTGGGTGGGAGGCCCACGCGTCTGTGAAATTACGTGATATTTCGGCCAAGAATCTACCTACGCGTAGTTCTGCCGCACGTTACGTGGATAAAAAGGCAGGACCGTTCGGGGGGCGAAGAATTGCGCACAGCAACCAACGTGTCAGGGAAGGAATTGAGGCGAGCGAGAGAGAACCCCACATCACATGGCGAACGGCGTGGGCTCGGCGAAGGCGGAGATCTGCGCCGGGCTGGGCATGCCGATGGCGGAGCTGGAGCAGGTGTTCCGGCGCTACGACGCCAACGGCGACGGCAAGATCTCGGCGGACGAGCTGGCGTCCGTGCTGCGCGCGCTGGGCGCGCCCCCGGGGCCAGGGGAGGTGCAGAGCATGATGGAGGAGATGGACGCCGACAGGGACGGCTTCGTCGACCTCCACGAGTTCGCCGCCTTTCACTGCGGCCCCTGCAAGGGCAGCGCGGCCGCAGACGCCAAGGAGCAGGAGGCCGCCACGGAGGCCGAGCTCAAGGAGGCCTTCCGGATGTACGACGCCGACCGCAACGGGCTCATCTCCGCGCGGGAGCTTCACCGTGTGCTCCGCCAGCTCGGGGAGAAGTGCTCCGTTGCTGACTGCTCGCGCATGATACGATCCGTCGACGCCGACGGCGACGGCAGCGTCAACTTCGAGGAATTCAAGAAGATGATGGGCGGCGGAGGTAGGAGCTAGGTTGGTAAGGGCCGGCCATCAGCAAACAATGTTGCATCTACATGCCTCGTTGAGGGTTTTGTTCTTCCATGGTGCTTAATTTAATTTATAATTAATCCCAAAGTGAAAGGCTTAGGCTCCCCGTAATGCGAATACTGATGATGATGCGGGTGAAGTGATTAATTATGTAAAGCTAATCTGCTAGTAGTACTACTAATGATGATGGGTGTACTAAGAAATTTGGTTTGGGATTGTTTGCAATGAATTAGAACTCGTTTGAAACTCTTTGTTTTTCTGTTTGAAACTCATGCAGAAACAATAACTATATTGTAAAGGTTGTGAAAATCGGGTCCGCAAGTTCTTGGGGATGTCGTTGAATCTGTATATCATTTGTTGTACTCAAATTACCACAACCTTTTTACAATCTACTTATTATACATTTTCAGACATTTTATTTTGAATCTGGTCCCACTTGTCATGTTGATCTCATAACTGGTCCCACACGTCAAAAATTTCAAAACTTGTCACCCATTTTCGTAAGCGGATCCCCTGGTCAGGTTTCCATTTCACATGTATCAAACAGACCAGAGAGCACATGAAATTCGTCGAAAACAAATACTAAATTAGTCTATTACAATCTTTACAACCTAGATATGTCTATTATTACAATATATAATATGCTACTCTTTCTTGAGCAATGCTTCATGGTTTCACACTTCCAACCTCCTTTTATGCCTGAAGCTATAATACAAGAACTGATAAAAACAAGGCACAACAAGTAATTCGCTAGCACAACTCCTAGCCAAAAGTGGCTGTTAACAAAATACATTATGGAACAAAGGTGCTCCTAGTGTAGCACATTGCAATGAGCATAAGAGTCTCCGGTCCTATTTTTCTAAGCTAAATACACCAAGTCCCAGCGTTTTGAAACAATATGTCTGTCTATATTTTGATATGGCCATTCATATCGAAGGGCCTGAATTCAAATACGTCGAATAAATGAAATTTAAATGCCGACAGTCATAGCTGATTGCAAATAACATGCAATCCCAGAATTTAAATGCACAACATCAAAATTTATGCGTTTCTAACCTCTAATGACAACATTTGCTAGCAAGAACGTGCAGATAATGATTGAATTGCATACAATCACAAAATATACAACCCAACATTTTTCAGAGCTGCTGAAATCATCACAGAAGAACCAAAAATAATATCTAAGACATTGCATAACTGAACTTGCCTAATCCAATCGCTTATTGTGCCAAAAAGGAGACCATATCCTCAACAGTTCGCATGTGCCAATGCATCAACCTGAAGCACTCAAACTGAGCAACTGAGACCACTATTTACATCAAACAGATGTTTAATGTGGCGTCACATAGCTACAGAAACCATATCATGAGTAAACTAAACTTTTGCAAAAGTAGAGCCAGGTTCTCTCAAGGATTGTAGCCATTCATATATTTATGGTACCTACTTCCTACATGATCATTTCACTCTAATCCCCTACTTGACTAAACTAACAAGTGCTCAGATTACTAGTAAACTCGCTGCAAATTTATCCACTCCATATGACAGTAAATCTAAGAGGTGGCAATCGATTGGTTCAACAATGCAATATAGCAGCTTAGTCGCAATAAATAACTACAGGCCTACAACAACTCAAAGTGGTAGTAGCTCAAAAACAAGCATGGGTGATAGGTCAATGGATAAGTTCCGTGACGACCTTGCAACGGCAATTGCTGAATCTACAAGCTAGGTGTTGTGAATAAAAAACTAGACTTGTTCATACAAATCCCTCTTACTCGTGCCGCATGCCGTGGTGCACCATCTTACTCGATCCGGCCTCAAGGAACCAGCAGCTCTGCTTGCTCCCTTGGCCCAACTCCTTGCTGTGCAGGATGACCGAGACTCGGATGCGGAGCTCCCTGCACATGACATATTGTATCAATGCTTCCAGCAACAAAAGGAACTCACATACCATAGAACTTGCACAATAGTGTATCAGCATGCATGATTCATATAGTATAACAGATAAACAACACAAACCTTTTTGTTTTCTGCGACGACGCTGAGCAGAAACGCGAGGAGACCAAAACAAGGAGGCGGTGAGGGCGACCCCCTTCGCCGAAGTCAAACCCATGGCTCCTGCATAACAATGCCCAAATACCGCCAGGAGAGAAACAAAATCAATAGCAATGCAACATGGACGAATGCGTCATCACAATGGCATAACAACAACAGTAAATAAATGCAACTCACTACTGCAGGATGGTCCAAACGCGACACTACAATCAGAGACCCTTCGACGAAACTGTGTGTGATGCCATAATCGCAAACGGTGGTGTAAAAACCATAAAAAAAGGTGCAAAACGTTTGCGATGACAGATGCATCAAACACGGTTCAGAATTTAGTTGCGTGTGCGATGCAGGGCATATGGTTCAGCTCAGTTAACTGTTTGGGATGAGGAGGCACAAAAGAAATGGGCATCCAGATGAAGGCATGTGCGATATACAACATACGGTTCACTGGGATGAACTGTGTGTGATTAGGCAACATAATGAAAACGGTTCAACTGAACAAGATGTGTGTGTGTGTGTGTGATACGCGGCAAATAGGTCCGTAATCTGAAATGTGTGCGAAGACCAATAATAACACAGACGATTGCTACTAATAAGCCGTGTGAATTGCTCTGTCTACAGTAGAATAACATGTATATATAACTGAAATAAACATCCGATTACATAAGTGACTATACAGATCATTTGCACACACCTCAATAAACAATTGCATGCATTCTAAAGTAGGAGAAATGATCATCTAGTCATCTACTTCTTGTGACGCTCCCGCCACTGCTATGTGGCTTGATCCCTCATCTGGGTGAGGAAGAAGACAGTTCCTCATGTCAACGATCCGCCTGTACATCTCGTAGCTTGTGTACACGTCCATGGCCGCGTACTTGACATGTTGTTAATCTAGTCTCTTATGCCACACACTGTGCCAGGCATTCTTGTCCTTATTGCTCTCTTGCTTCATCTTCGCGTAGTAGGGGTCGATGATGGCCGAGGCGAGTCAACCAGGGAGTTCAGTTTGTTTTTGTCGCTGCCCCAGACCTTGTAGTGGTGCTGGATGTTGACAAGATTTGGGCATTTCAAGTCTGAAACCTTGAGCGCTTTTAGATCGTTGGTGGTGTCCACCGTAGCGAAACTATAGTCGGAGCTCTTGATAAACCTGGAGAAATGCTTGCAAGGCCTTGTGGCAAGGTGGAAGTGGTAGATGAGGACGTCATGTCGCACGCACAGCTGAGCGACGACAACCTTCTGATCGTGCCCGACATGACCCATGGTGTACTCGAGGTCGACGCCGACCACTCGGTACTTGTCCTCGGTAAGGAACTGCTCCATAGTTTGGATGGAGCTCTCCACCGAGACCAGATCGTTCGTGTACACCACCGAGAGGGCCTTCCCCCTCACGTGGGTGTCCACTACATGATGCGTGGTGAACTTCCCGTCGTTGTCGTCGTCAGCCATTGCTGTTGTCGTTGTCGGCCGCTGGCCACGGGGAGCGCCATTGGAACCGCTGGATGTCCTATCTGTATGTCTCCTTGTGGGTGTGCTTATTGTGTCGTGTGAGACGAGAGATGAATGTAAATGGCCGCAGGAATAAAAGGGGGCCGGGCTGCGTGGATTCTCGGCGCGTCCGCATGGCAGTTTTTGCAGCGGGTAACTGCATCGTCGCGTCGCGCCCGGCGCAACCGCTTGCACACGAACGTGCGGATCATGCGCCGAGCACCCGGAGTGACGCGAGAGCAGAGCGCGCACGGAGGGATGCGAGTAGAGCGCGCCGCGGCCGCCTGGACCGCAAGAAACCACACACATAGAGCAGTTGAACAAGCAGGAAATGGTCGCCTACAAGCCGACCGACAGTTGCGTTGCTGCGTAGATAGCGGCCGTGTGGTACCACCTCCGTCTAGTCTATAGTCTCCTTTATATTCCGTGCCATACTTTGCCCTCAAATTTAACCAACAAAATGTTAATGCATGTTTTAAAAATTATACAATTGGAAACTATGTTCAAATACAAATCCAACTATATAATCTTTGGCGACATGCATTCGTATTTTATTAGTTAAATCATTCTTATAAACCAGGACGGTGGTATAGTAGGTAATTAAATCGCAAACGTTTTTTTATTAACCGTATGTGTACGTGGCCTTTCGTCCTCCTCTCGCACGTCTTGTTACCCCGCTGCCGCAGACGGCTTACAACGCAAGCTTGCGCAGAGCGCCGGGGCGTTCTTTTTGCCAAACGGTGGCGCCAATGAATCATCGGCGAGCCCATTCCCGCGCAACCTTGCAGATTCCCGCGCAAGCTTCCTGCCCGACTCGGTGAAATCCCCCAAAATCCCAATGCTTATCGGCCTGCTATAAAAACCCTCACGGCCGGTGAGTCCTACGTCGCATTTTCCCCTCCATCCCTGTAGCTTATCGCGTCTACTTCTCCCACAATCTTCAATGGCACCGGTCCATCATCGTCGCTCAGCCACTCCGCCATCATCAGAGGATAGCTCCAGCTGGGAGGCTACACCGCGGCGGCGGCGCAGTCCCCGACATAGTGTAGTGCGCGTGGCATCCCTGTTGGGTGTGCGCGAAACACCCACCACACGCTCCGCTGCCGGTGCCCGTCGGCAGCTGCTGCCGGCCGCCGTTGCTGCCACACCACCGTCGAAAGCCAGGGCCATCGCCCGCTCCGCTACCACGGCCCAAAGGCGGGAGATGGCCATCGAGGCCGCCACCCAACTGTTGGCCACTGTGGCCATCACCCGCTCCGCCACCGCGACCCGAAGGCGGGAGGTGGTGGTTGTGGCCGCCACCCCGTCGTCGGCCGCCGTGACCGCCAGCCCACCGTCTATCGCCAGGGTCATCACCCGCTCCGCCACCATCGCCCAAAGGCGGGAGGCGGAGGTGGATGCCCGCACGTGCGACAACGACCTTGCGTGCTACATCGAGTTCCTGCGGGAGGAGGAGGAGCGCCTTGTCGAGCACACAAAGAGCCTTACCACCGCAGTGGCCGCAGTACACGCCGCCTCAGAGGCGAGGAATCAGAAGATCTATGAGGAGAACCACCGCTTCGAGAGGGGTTGTCTGGAGTGGCAGAGAGCGTTCGAGGTGAGTGTCACTGAAGCTGCATTAGCGGCAGGCACCGCACTGCGATTGCCCAGCTCGTCAGTAGGCTCCTCCTCCGCCGCCTCTTACTAAGCGCGCAAGGCGGAGGAGAGGCAGCCGGAAGTAGTACAAAGCCCCTCCGTAGTAGTAGTAGTATTTAGGGGCTATTTTTTTAGTTCATCTGACTATAGATGTGGTGGAACTGTACAACGTACTTAAAATTAGCTGGTATATAGAGTTGAACTAGCTATTTCAGTACGTGGTTGGCAAAAATTGGGAAAAAGTTTGGTCGGTTCAGCTATCGAGTTGAACTGTTTGTATAAATTAAGAACGACTGCTTAATCTATGAATGAAATCTATGCTTAATGACTGAATTTTAGTTGCAAAAATTAGATACTGCTAGTGATTTTTAGCTTCATATTTTGACAAATCACAGTGTTACAAGGATTGACAAATTATACCAAATTGTTTGTACGGGGTTGCACACAGGTCATCCAAAACAACCGTTTGCATTGAAGGGGTGCACAAATCCTGCGCTGCTCTCACTTTGCATACATGTGTTCTATCTAAAACGTTTGCAATCAATAGCTGCAGAAATCCTACTTGGCACATTTTCTCTTGGCTTCCTGGGGAAGCTGTCGGTTTACATACAGGTGTTCTAACTAAAACGTTTGCGATGAGTGCTTTATATTTAAAAAGCGAATTAAACTGCGGCTTGAGCGCCATGGAGAGGATGCGAGCAAGGCGGGCGGCCATGGAAGTCAAAGGGCTCGCTTCCCAGTGAGCCTGCGCAGCATACAGCTCGCCGGTGAGCCTGCACACTCGAGGACAGCTTGCACGCCTCTCGGTCAGCCTGCGCACCGAATGGCGCTCGCACGCCTCCCATTCAGTCAAGGTCAAGCAGCTGTCCGCACGACACCTCCTACAACCATTAAAACCAAGACATGTGGTGTCACGTGAATGGTTAACATAATTTTGGATTCACTAGAATTTAAAAACCAGGCATCTCAATGTTTTGCCGGCAATCAACGGTGCCCTAGTGTTTGAAATTCATTCCCATTTCTTGCATGGGACCTAAGCATGCACCCAAGGACACATGTTTGATTTTTCAACCAATTTATATGCACTGGAGCATGTGCATGTAATTCAAATTTGAATTATGCACATAAATGCATTGAAAACTCAGTTAATGTATAAAAATGTCCAAACGAACCCCGAAGAATCACAAAAATTCACATAACGCTCCTGTTGTTCTATGTTGACACGAGAAATTTTTTGAAAGCAATAAGAGGCAATGGACATTGCTTCGTCCCCAAAGGTGGGACGTTCCCTACCGAAAACCATCATGCTTGTTGGGAGAAGCTCCGGTTTGTCAGAAGCATATACCCAAACCTGCTCCAAATGGGATAAAATTTGTACCACGGCATGTTGATGCCTCTCCATGATAGCGTGCCAAGTTTCACGAATTTCAGACGAGTTTGGATTTACTAGAATTTAAAAACCAGACATCTCAATGTTTTGCTCGCAATTAACGGTGCCCTAGTGTTCGAAATTCATTCTCATTTCTTGCATGGGACCTAAGCATGCACCCAAGGACACATATTTGATTTTCAACCAATTTATATGCACTAGAGCATGTGCATGTAGTTCAAATTTGAGTTATGCACATAAATGCATTGAAAACTCAGTTAATGCATAAAAATGTCCAAACGAACCCCGAAAAATCACAAAAATTCACACAACACTCCTGTTGTTCTATGTTCACACAAGAAAAAACTTTGAAAACAATAAGAGGCAATGGATATCGTTTCGTCCCCAAAGGTGGGACGTTCCCTACTGAAAACCATCATGCTTGTTGTGAGAAGCTCCGGTTTGTGAAAATCATATACCCAAACCTGCCCCAAACGGGACAAAATTTGTACCACGACATGTTGATGCCGCTCCATGATAGCATGCCAAGTTTCATGAATTTCAGACGAGTTTTGGATTTACTAGAATTTAAAAACCAGGCATCTCAATGTTTTGCCGGCAATCAACGGTGCCCTAGTGTTTGAAATTCATTCCCATTTCTTGCATGGGACCTAAGAATGCACACAAGGACACATATTTGATTTTTCAACCAGTTTATATTCACGAGAGCATGTGCAAGTAGTTCAAATTTGTATTATGCACATGAATGCATTGAAAACTCAATTAATGCATAAAAATGTCCAAACGAACCCCAAAAAATCACAAAAATTCACACAATAATCCTCTTGTTCTATGTTGACACGAGAAAAAATTTGGAAGCAATCAGAGGCAATAGATATCGTTTCATCCCCAAAGGTGGGACGTTCCCTACTGAAAACCATCATGCTTGTTGTGAGAAGCTCCGGTTTGTGAGGATCATATACCCAAACCTGCCCCAAATGGGACAAAATTTGTACAACGACATGTTGATGCTGCTCCATGATAGCATGCCAAGTTTCATGAATTTCAAACGAGTTTTGGATTTACTAGAATTCAAAAACCAGGCATCTCAATATTTTGCCGGCAATCAAGGGTGCCCTAGTGTTTGAAATTCATTCACATTTCTTGCATGGGACCTAAGCATGCACCCAAGGACACATATTTGATTTTTCAACCAATTTATATGAACTGGAGCATGTGCATGTAGTTCAAATTTTAATTATGCACATAAATGCATTGAAAACTAGTTAATGCATAAAAATGTCCAAACGAACCCCAAAAAATCACAAAAATTCACACAACACTCCTGTTGTTCTATGTTGACACGAGAAAAAAATTTGAAAGCAATAACAGGCAATGGATATCATCTCGTCCCCAAAGGTGGGACGTTCCCTACCGAAAATCGTCATGCTTGTTGTGAGAAGTTCTGATTTGTGAGAAGCATATACCCAAACCTGCCCCAAATGGGAGAGAGTTTGTACCACGACATGTTGATGCCACTCCATGATACCATGCCAAGTTTCATGAATTTCAAACGAGTTTTGGATTTACTAGAATTTAAAAACCAGGCATCTCAATGTTATGCCGGCAATCAACGATGC